TTGAATTCAGCAAACACCTCGTGTTTGAACTTTATGAGAGATACCCATGTTATTTTGATGAACTCATCAACAAATGACACAAAATATTTATTCCCTCCAGTTGATGCTACTGGAAAAGGACCGCACACATCAGAATGCGCTACTCCCAAGGCATGTTTCGCTCTTGGAACTACTTCTGATGAAACTGGTAATCTTGGTTGCTTCTCTTCTATGCACACCTTGCATGACTTTTCAGGCTTCTTGATTGTAGAAATTCCATGTACCAGATTCTTTGATTTCAGATGCCCTAAACCTCTGAAATTCATATGACCAAATCTTATGTGCCACAGCTCACTCTCCTTGACAACACTTGTTGCACTAAGACATTCAGAGTCTGCAGTTCTAACATCCACCTTGAATGTTTTGTTCCTTCATTGTTCTGACTCCATAATCAGCTTCTGATTTTAGTCATACAGCTTCAGAAGCTTGTCCTTCATGGTAACTGAAAAACCTTTCTCAATCAGTTGTCCCATACTCATCAGATTGCTTTTCATGCGAGGTACATACCATACATTTTGGATCACTGCTGCTTTCCCATTGTTTAGAATGATTCTGACATTTCCCATACCTTTTGCATTGAGGTATTTATCATCAGCACATTTGATCTTTGTACTCTTTCTAGAGTCAAAATCAACCAACCACTTCTTGTTTCCAGTAAGATGGTTTGAACACCCTGTGTCTATATACCACCATTCTGATGAATTCAGATAATCAGGTTCAGAAGCCAACAATAGCACAAGTTCATCATCAGACTCTCCTCTTGCTATATTTGCTTCTTCTGACTTCTTTTCTTTGTTGGACCAACAATCTCTTGCATAGTGACCAAAGTTCTTGCAACAGTAACACTGAACACTCTTTTTGTCAGACTTCTCCTTTTCCTTCTGGACATTCTTCTGCCTATCAGAGTTTGAAGCTTCTGACCTTTGACCACTATTAGTTTTCTTCCTGGCTTCTAACCAAGTCTGCTTCTGATGCTTCTTACCAGAAGTTACCTTCAGAGTCTGTTGCTCTACTTCCCTCTCAGAACTTCTTGCAGTCATACGTAACTCATGCGCCTCTAGACTACTTTGCAGCTCTTTAACTCTCATGGTGCTCAGATCTTTGGAATATTCAATTGCTACCACAATGTCATCAAACTGAGAAGTTAAAGATCTCAAGATCTTCTCAATAATTACTTATTCATACAGAGTTTCTCCACAAGCTTTCATCTCATTAGTGATCAAAATCACTCTAAAGATGTATTCAGAAACTTTCTTGTTGTCCTTCATGTTGAGATTCTCATATTGCTTTCTGAGAGACTGAAGCTTCACCTTCTTCACTGATGTGTCACCACCGTAACATCTGACCAGTGTGTCCCACACAGCCTTTGTTGTTTCAAAATCAGCAATCTTCTCAAACACATTTGCATCCACACATTGATGGATGTAGAACAACGCCTTCTGATCTTTCTTTCTTAGCGCTCTATGTGTTATCTTTTGTGCCTCTATTGCGGCTGTTTCTAACAGATCATAGCCATCAGTGACAAGATCTAACACATCTTGAGAACCAAATAACACGTGCATTTGGATTTTCTAACGATTCTAGTTTTTATCATCAAATACTGGAAGCTTGGAATGAATATCGTCTCTGTTCCCGTTCATCTTTTACCTTTGAGCAATTTACGCAGAGTTTCCCAAATCAATGTTTCTCAAAACCCCAGAATCAGAATATTGTAATTCTTAATCACAATACTTCTTTTCCCCGTAGATTTCGAGCCGGAGGTCTAGATACCAATTGTTGGTGCACAAGGAAGATAAAAGGCAAAAGGAATATTTACTGACAACTTTAAAATAAAGATTTACAATGAATTACAATAACCTACCCCACTAGGCTATTTATACACACAAATTAAATCTAAAATATATCTTCTAACAAAGATATAAGAAGATCTAAGATATATATCTTCTAACAAAGATATGATCAATCTAAAAGATATTCCTAAATATAAATTAATATCTAATTAATTCTAACAATATCATCGTTTTTCTTCTCATTTTTTGTTCCAGATCAGAATAGTTGGTTTTTCTCTTCATTGTCTCCATTTTTGGTCTATATATCTAATTTTCTTAGAAGCAATGTACTTAGAAACAAACTAGGTGTTTCTAGTTTCAGACTCAAAGTTCACTAGAGTTTGGTTTTACCCCTTTTTTTTCCTTCTTGTAACCTCTTTTCTTTATGTTATTTGGGTGGTGCTCCTTGGCCTTGCTTAAATAAATAAGAATTCCTTATAGACTAGCTTTATTGTTGAATTCAATTCTACGTTGTACAAAGTCAAATAGCGAAGTTATTGCTAACAAGTGTCATACACTTCAAAGAAGTTTGCTAGTCAAGGAAATTCATATTACATTGCATTCGGTTCAACCCAAGTCCCAATCACAATATTAATGTTTAATAGTAATGCCTGAATAAAAATACCAAACTTCAAAACTCTCATTTGCCATTTTATTTTCCTCTCAACTACCACATACACCAAAAATGTGGTAGGTTCCCACAAAGATTCCACGTTTATCTTTCCTCGATTGACCTTGTCCACAAAATATTCACATCACTTGATATTCATGTTACATCCCATGTTACTTTCTACACCTCTCTTTGCTTTTGGTTTAGTCTCCCTCACTCCCAACCAATACGGCAGAAACTATATAGAATGTGTAACATAATATTGACCGTGCTATCTTACAATTTTTATATTCACTCTTTAGATCTAGATTTTCTGTATTCATTATACTATACTATATATCAAAGTTGACGCACAAATATTTCTTTAACTCAGTTGCAGCTATGGATTGGTTTTCATGGCTTTCAAAAACAAGCCTTGAACCATCTCTTGTATACGAATATGGAGTTATCTTAGCTCACAACGAGCTTGAAGAAGACGACATATTTTACTTCAACCATGAGTTTCTGCAAAGCCTGGGAATCTCTATAGCCAAACATAGACTAGAAATTCTCAAGCTTGCTAAAAAAGACAAGAGAAAGTTCCCACACACAGTTGCAAAGTTTGTGGCTGCAATCAAAAAGTATGTTAGGAGTTTGACTCATACTGAAGAATCAGCACTTGTGGTGGTGCCAACAACAAGGTCTAGTGGTGGATTTGGGAGAAGATGGAAGAGTGGTATTATGAAGAGGAACAAAAAATATGTGGTGGCTAAACAAGAGAAACTGTTTCTCACAAATGGTGTAGTTCCTGTTCCTGCTTTGTCTGGTGATCTTGATGGTTTTGCTAGTCCTGTTGTGCATCATTTCCAAAAGGAGCAAAGGGTTGATGGCGGTGGCGATGGAGGTGGTGTTGGTGGTGATGGATATTGGTCTGCTGCTGTTGAAGAGATTAAGTGGGATACCATGTTTAAGGATCTAAAGCCGAACTAAAAGTTTTTCCGGATTTGGATCCTCTCCTGTTAGGTCATGTACAGTTGAAGTATGGTGTTGTGTAGATGTAGAGGATCCAATTTCCTCTACATCCTCTTCACTATCTCTATCTCTCTCTCTTACTTTCTATCATTCTCTTTGTCTCTCTCCACTCTTTAACACTCTTTCTTCTTTTTGTGCTCGAAAGGAAGGAGTTCATAGCAGTGAAGTAGTGAGGTAGATATTTAGTTTTGTAGCAAAAAGTGTGTAATTTGAGTCTGCTAGACTTGAGTTTATGTGTTGTACTATGTCAGATTTAGTGACAGTTCATATTTACTTACACAGTTTATTCGATGTTATCTTGGTGGTTATGTCATAAAATAATAAACCTTTTCTCTGCATCATCAAATTACTATGTTTACTTTATTTAGCCTTTATTTGCTTACGTTGGTGTCTGCAGAATCTGACTCTTCTATATGAGTACTTTGGCAAGTTCAATTAACTACATCATGGATCTACACCTAATAAACTCTTAATCACATTCTCTACAGTCACAAAAAGAACAAATAATTTATTGTTTCCCATATTAACCAAAACCAAGGACCGAACTCGTATTGTTCAGTAGTAGCACATGAAAGCCATAAAAATGCTTAGAATTGTCTCTGTATGCTTAGAAAAACTGATGACTGAAAGCAAATATGTTTGTATCATCTACACCCAAAGCAATCCAATTTGCGCCAAATTATTGAAAACAGTTATTCCCGAGCCTTTATTATTATTGATGTTTAATACTATCGTGCGCAGCTTTGTTTTAATCATTGAATCATTAAGTGTCATCTTTAAATCTAGTTAGTTTATGAGGTTGCAATGCCAGTTTGTTGGAGGTTCCTGCAAAGTCTTTTATTGTGACAATGATTGGGCTACATTGCTATTATGACCATTTTTAGGCCAAAAAATATATAAAGTTTTTAGTGGGGTGAAGAAGTGCAGGATCGCGGATTCGAATCCGCAACCCTGCAATTTTTGTTCCAAATCCGTGACCCTGCAATTGATGTTCCTTCACAACTATCATAAATAAAGTTTTTATGATAGGATATTACTCCATAAACACAAAAACAATCTCATTTTAATGTTCAACCAAAAAGCGCAAAAACACAACATAATAGAACTACATTTTTTTCTGCTGGAAAATGAAACTAATCTCATTTAAACAATTTTAAGAATCTGTAAGAGTGGTAACATCATTCTACTGTAAAGTTTATGAGAAAAAAGTAATAGAACTGTGATGAAGAATTGACGTAACAGTATAGCAACTATGTCAGTGGCAAACAAATCAGCCACAAAATTTCTTTCACGCTGAAACATCTGATCTTCATCTTTCAAATTCAAGGCATTTGAAGCATTATAAGCATCTCATACCGTAAACAACATGGCCGCGGCAAAATAGAAAAAAAATGTTCCGCGCTAATGAATGATCCTCCTCACGTTGCCTATCTTTTGCTGCTCGGCTCAAGTTGCAAGCAGTGGAACCAATGAACAAATCACATTGATATGCCTGTACTATAAATGTCTTGCTAAGACTTACTCTCAATGCTATATATATTGCTGACGACTCCTACGATGCTAACAGTCACGGCCAATACCAACATTAACCACGACAAAATCATTTCTACATGACTCAAATCTCCTTTATGACTTAATCTTATTGCAACAAGAGGTGGAAATATGAAACCTAGCGAAACCGCCGTCGTTGCGCCGGTGAACTTAAAAGCTGTCCAAATGTTTGGAATCATGGTACACCCGATATATATGAGGATCAACAGAACCAAAGTCAGCCCTAGCGATCTCTTCTTACTTACTGTTAAAGGAGGTGATCCCTTGAAAATCAATGTATCCACTGTTTGGCGTAGTGAGAAATGAATAACAGGAAAGACAAGTATCAAATGGAGAATGTAGCCGACTCTAACAATATAGTTCAAGGCCGAACTAAACCGGATTCCCAGATCCTTATCAAAATTAGTCAGGACATCCGACTCCGTATCGTCCCCAAATAACAGATAACCAGATAATGCCGTTGCAGCATAAACAAGAATGCACAAAATCGTGGTGAACCTTCCTACACGATTCATCTTCTGCGGTGATCTACCTTCAAGCTCGTTGTAAATCGGCTGCACATTAAAATGACAAACATACGCATTCGTCATGATTGGAATCACCACAAGTAAATCCAAAATAGCCTTTTTCGAACTAAGATCCGGAAGCATCCTCGGAGCATCAATCTTTCCTTCAACAAGCTTAATGGAAGCAACAGCGAAAGCAACAACAACAAACATTACAGCAAGAGCAACCGACGCAGCAGAAGTCAAGCTCAACGAATCAATCTTATCAAGGGAACACAACGGCGCTAGAAAAATCACCATAACAACAAGAATCACAAGCTTCCTCTGATCCCAAACCCCGTTCCCCATCAACTGATCAAAAACCCCTAAATGATGAACCGAACCCGACATAACATCCCCCATTATAATCAAATAAACAACCAAAACACCAGCATTATTCAAAATAATACAAATCTCAGACAAAATCCTAGCAGGTCTTCCCATAGCATGTTGAACAACCTCACCATAAGACGAGGCTTTACACAAAACAGAAAAACGAATCAACAATTCGACACTAATTTCCGACAAAACCCCCATCAAAATAATCAACACAATCCCCATAAAAACTCCAAGAACTTTCATGGTAGCAGGAAGAGCCATAAGTCCAGCCCCAATAATAGTAGTAGTCAAATTGAACACAGCGCCAGGAACACCAGAACCATGATTTCCAGTAGGCCCAACGACAAGAGGATAATTATCAATATCAATTTCAAAATGTTCACCCTCATCATCATCATCATCATCATCAACCTTAGATCTCAAAAACCCTCCACCCTCATCAAAAGACAATCTTCGAAAAGAATCTGATGAACCATTTTGAGGTTGTAATTCTACATACGATGATGATTTACCAGGTATTGAACTATAACTAGAATCATTCCGATTGGACATTATTAATAGATCCAAATCCAAAACAAATGAAACTCAGAATAATCTCTAGATCTTGAATGATGATGAAGAAAAACTTACAGAGATTGTGATAATTTGCAGAAGAAACCTAGATCTCTGGGTGAATGGATAAAAAGATTTCAAAAATTTCTTCAAACATAACATGGAGAAACGCACGGTACGGAAATATTTCGGGGAGAGAAACGTTGTTTTGTTTTTGTGTTGTTTGGAGTTTTCTTAATCTTATGTTATGTCTCTGTTCTTTTGCTTTTATTTGTAATTAAATTATTTTTATCATTCTACAAGTCAATTTCTTAATTTAGAAAAACATGTATGGAAAAATCATGTGATGACGTGTATGGATATTATTGGTTAAAAAGGCAACCACCAAACAAGACTGTTGTAGTGGGCCATGAATCTTAGTTCAACTCAACTATGGAAATTTGGGTAACAAAACAAAAGGATACTCAATAGGGACTTATAACTTACTACTATAACTCAAATTCACCAAACTCCTATTAATTTCTATTATGTTTAACCCCATAAATCAATTTCAAATCATCAACGCCTTTCAATTTAGGAAAACAAAAAACATTTTTTTAACACATTTTATATATATTAGAATATCCACTATAAATAGCTATACACCTTTATTTTATCTCATTTTGTTCTCAATCAAATTAATAAAGAAAGAAAAAGAAACTTGTCTAAAACTTGTCTCTATCTCCTCCCACTTTCACTCTTATAAAACTATATAAATCACATCTCATTTATGTTCACTTTTTATTTTTCTTTAATATCATTCTCTTTAATTTCCTTTCAAAAGTCACTGGCTAATTAAGAACTCAAAAAGCAAGAAAAGTGTAGATAGACATGCACCTAGACCAGAGCAGCAAAGTTAACTTTCATTCACTAGAGTCCACCAAACAATTCAACCGTAAGAAGTAATAGCTACTACCATACAATGATAAGATAAAAAGAGACATAGTTGCCCAAACCCAATGTCATCTTACTTGTTTGAGAAACATAGTATGGGTCCCTCAAGCCATATTCCTCAGTGCTTACTGGACTTAAAGGAATATCTTAACAATGTTTGCTTACTAGTATTGAAGAATTTATTCAAAAAGGAAACACTTCTAACGAGTGAATGTATAATTATTTTGTTAAAAAAAAAAGTGCATTATCTTCTGTAAATTTAAAATTTACATAGTGGAATTATAAATGGTATGATGTCATGATGTTATGTACAAATATATAAAGCAAGCAAGTCGTTAGGTACAAATAATCATATACACACAAAGCAGACAAGTCTTTAGGTTTAGGCTTGCATGTAGTTTATAGGTAAGTACCCTCTTGAAGTTTAGTTCGCTCAACTTGTCCTAGTAATAGTAACCGAGTTATAGGAGATCTCAATATCACTGACCTTTCTTTTAGGCATTGTTCTAGCTCAAGCACCAAAATATTGCGGCCTGAATATCCCAAAAGTCCAATCTCAATGAGTGTAGCATCGAGTATCAACCAATCTTCGGTCGGAACCAAAGCCGGTCATCTCACTACTTCCTAGTGGCTTAGAATGAGTCAATTAAAGGTTCTAAAGGTCAGTTAGCGCTTAATGACACTATAAGGAAGCCTAATGTTATCCTTGATTGATTCAAGGAACATTAGTACAAGTCAGAGTATCACACTAACGTAGCTATCACTTTGTCCATATCGGTCTATGTCGTACAGCCTCCATGATATATTGCTACTTACCTAAAAAGGTGCCCCAAATCCGGGTATAGGATCTTTAACAATAACCCAAACAAGGACCCAAAAATATAAAGCAAGCAAGTCAAACAATGGAAGCAGGTAATGGTGATCTAGCCCTAAGGTAACTCCACTTTTAAGTCTTAATTCCCCAGCAGAGTCGTCAGTTCTATAATACGGTGGGATAACTCACTTGGTTGTTTTTTGTTTGATCGCAATTGTTGCGGATAGCAAGAGTTGCCACCGACTTTTCTTTTATCCAACTAAGGAAAGGTTGAAAAGAACAGGAAAGACCTTTAGAGATTATTTCTTGAGTTCGGGGGGTAGGTTATGAAAAGGGAAGGTGTTAGCACCCCTTTAATTCGTAGTTATCTACGGGCTCTTAGTTGCTTGCTAGATTACTTGCTTTTGTTTGAAAATGTGCTTGTGGTGTGGGTTTGAAAACGTCTTTGTAATGATTCTCGTCTCTATAAGAATGCATACAAAGTGTTTGGTTTTGCAAATAGTTCAAAGAAGTGTTCGTGGAAGATGTTTTTGAAAAGTGTCTTTGTAATGATTCTCGTCTCTATAAGAATGCGTACAAAGTGTTTTAACTTTTGAAAAAATTTCAATTGAAAGTGTTGGTATGAAAATGTTTTTAGTTGTGAGCAAGCAAGCAACTACGAGCGTCCTACCTACTCAAAAGGTATAATGTTCTTTTCCTCCTCCCTTAGATGTTGCTATCTTACCATTGATTTGGTAAGAAGCCCTATCATTGGATGTGAAGGGACGGGCGTGGGTCGTTTGTATAGTCATAGAAGGCAACCCATGAGACATTTTAGCAATTTCGTATAGGAACTAGATCGTTTACCGAAGGCAACATCAAGGGTCATCTAGGGACTACGATCTTTTATCAAGGGTCTTTGCTAAAACGCCCATATTCGAGGAACATGACTATTTTCCGATGCAACAAGTGAGATTACCCTAGAGGTGCATGTGTGTGAATGGTGTGTTTGATTGCATGCATTTAGTCTTTAATTAGGGTTGTCTACTTGTTGGTTTCATCATGCCATACATCCTAATTACTAACATTTCATATAAAGCGATAAAAATGCGAAAAATAAGGTCATACGCTATTACAACCATATTGAACAGCAAGAAAATGTAAAAACAAAAACAAAATAAAAGAAGGGAAACAGGTTCTTTGATCCAGGCAGTATACACCCTTCGATTCTGCTCTTCCTGGCTTCTTTCGGTTTGAGCCTGAAAATCAGCGTGAGATGCACCCTTTGACTCACCCTTTTTATGCTTCTTTCGATTGGACCTGGAAGTCAGTGTGAGTGTATCTTTCGATTACGTCCTTTTTCTGCTTCCTTCGATTGGCCTTGAAGTCAGTGTGTGGCAAAGCCTAAGGCTTCGATTCACACCACACTCTTTGTTCTGTTTGCAACTGTGAAGCAGCCAGGGGAAAAGCCTTGCTTGAAGCTGGAAGGTGTGTGCTGGACCTTGAGTTGCTACTATGGGTGCTCCTGGATTCGAAGGAAAGAAACAAGTGTGATGTTTCTTTCACTGGATTCGAAGGAGAGAACAAAGTATGGGGTTGCTCCTAGATTCGAAAAGGGAAAAGAAGCATGTGTTGTGTTTCTAGTGTTGGATTCGAAAGGAACAGAAACAAGGGTGTGATCTTTTGATTCTGGGTTTAAGAGTGTGTTAAGTGTTTGATGATTTTCACACCATCAAAGGTTCTCCAGCTACCCAAAGCCCTCTGGATGTGTTGTCCAACCCCCTTAGATGTATGATGGAACCTCTTATTTATAGATGAAGTTGGATGAGGTTTGGGAGGGAAAATAAATGAAGTTTGAACAAATTGAGTATGCTGTTTTTTTAGCTTTCGAGGTGCAGTCTTGTATTCCGTTTTGGTGCAAGAAAAGGGGCAGCATTGCAGGACTTCTTTGCAACCGTTTTGGTGTGTTGTGGACAGTGCAGCAGGCTTGGACTTGTAGCGCATAGGACTCTGGTCAACAAGCCTTCGACCAGACTTCTTCTTCAGACAACAATGTGATTTCAAACAATATGTGTCCTTCGAATGGGCCATTTGCAATTCTTCGAATGGGCCACCAATATTTGTCTTTCGAATAGGCCTTTTGTATGTTCCTTCGAATGTGTCAGTTGTGAGTGTCATAGTGCGAAAACTGTGTGTGTCGAAACAAATTGTTTCCAAGGGAGATACTGCCCAGTCGAAGCTAGCGTGAAAGTAGCCAATGCTTTGTGGGCGCCATTACTTTGTGAATGTTAGCCATGGGGAAGCTTTTGCCTTGTGCATACTGGCTTGAAGGATGTCTTGGCTTTTGTGAATCGAAGGAATCATGCAAGGGGAAGATGGCTTCTGAATCGAAGGAAAGCTGCAGGAGGCCATTTCCTTCTGAATCGAAGGACACTTTCAGAAGGTCATTTCCCTCTGAATCGAAAGAAGTCGGTATGGAGCCACTAATCTTTTGAATCGAAGGACACCAGCAGGAGGCATTTGTCTTATGAATCAAAGGAAGATTAGACGCCCAATTGAAGGATGAATCAAGCTTGCTCGAAGGAAGCCTAGATGCCCAATCGAAGCTAAAATGAATCGAAGGAAGCTTGCTTTTCTTCAAAAAATCATTTTTATCTGCTTTGCCCCTTTTTGTCTGCTTTATACTTGCGCAAGCTTGAGCTTTTGAAAATACTTGAGAAAAGAGAGGGCAAATTTTGGGGTACAACAGGCTCATTAGATCTAAACCAGCTAGTACCCCTCTTGATCCTTCTTCAAAACTTCATCAAGGTAGTAGACAAGCTTTTGAAGACATTTCCACATACAAAAGAATCATTGGCAAGCTTCTATATCTTAACACCAAAAGACCTGACATATCCTTAGCTACACAACAACTTAGGCAATTTTTGAATTCTCCTACAATCACTCATTTTAAATCTGCTTGTAGAGTAATCGATACTTAAAGCAAAGTCATGGTAAAGTTATCATATTTCCTAAAAGCTCAAATACTCAAATTCTAGGATATGTAGATGCAGACTGAGCTGGTTGTCACGACTCAATAAAATCCACAACTGGTTTCATCTTCTTTATAGGAAACTCACTTATATCATGTAGAGCAAAGAAGTGGCCAACCATCTCAAGGTCATCTTTAGAAGCTGAGTATCGAGCCATATCAACGACTACATGTGAATTACATTGGCTCTTGTATCTCTTAAAAGATTTATATGTTATATGTGATAAACAACCTGTGTTGTAT